AACTGTCCACAGAAGCAATCAATCAGATTCCAAACTCTCCACCAAGGCCAAGGTCAAAGAGCTGTCCAAGGATGTCAAGGACAAGATTGTAGTCCTACACAAGGCTGGAATGGACTACAAGACTATCGCCAAGCAGGTTGGTGAGAAGGTGATAACAGTTGGTGTGATTATTCAAAAATGGAAGAAACACAAAATAACTGTCAATCTCCCTTGATCTGGGGCTCCATGTAAGATCTCGTCTCACGGAGTTTCAGTGATCATGAGAATGATGAGGAATCAGCCCAGAACTACATGAGAAGATCTTGTCAATGATCTCAAGGTAGCTGGGACTATAGTCACCAAGAAAATAATTGGTAACACAGTACGCTGTGAAGGACTGCAAGGTCCCTCTGCTCAAAAAAGCACATGTACAGACCCGTTTGAAGTTTTCCAATGAACATCTGAATGATTCAGAGAACCAGGTGAAAGTGTTGTGGTCAGGTGAGACCAAAATCGAGCTCTTTGGCATCAACTCAACTTGCTGTGTTTAGAGGAGGAGGAATGCTGCCTATGACCCCAAGAACACCATCCCCATCATCAAACATGGAGGTGGGAACATTATGCTTTGGGGGTGTTTTTCTGCTAAGGGGACAGGACAACTTCACCGCATAAAGGGACGATGGATGGGACCATATACTGTCAAATCTTCGTTGAGAACCTCCTTTCCTTAGCCAGGGCATTGAAAATGGGTCATGGATGGGTATTCCAGCATGACAATCACCCACAACACATGGCCAAGGTAACAAACGAGGGGCTCAAGAAGAAGCACATTAAGGTCCTGGAGTGGCCTAGCCAGTCTCCAGACCTTAATCCCATAGGAAATCTGTGGAGGGAGCTGAAGGTTCGAGTTGCCAAACGTCAGCCTCGAAACCTTAATGACTTAGAGAGGATCTGCAAAGAAGAGTGGGACAAAATCCCTCCTGAGATGTGTGCAAAGCTGGTGGCTAACCACAAGAAACATCTGACCTCTGTGATTGCCAACAAGAGCTTTGCCATCAAGTACTAAGTCATGTTTTGTGACTTATTTCACTCATTAAAATGCAAATCAATTTATAACTTTTTTGAAATGTGTTTTTCTGGATTTTTTTGTTGTTATTCTGCCTCTCATTGTTAAAATAAACCTACCATTAAAATTATAGACTGATCATTTTTTTGTCAGTGGGCAAATGTATAAAATCAGCAGGAGATCAAATAATTTTTTTCCTCACTCTAACCCAGTGGATACTGTAGTACTGAAAATCTGGTTGTGTTTAGACAGTAGCCTGTGCTTGATCATTAATTTAATTTAATTTAATTATTTAATAATTTAATTTAATTTAATTTAATTTAATTTAATTTAATTTAATTTAATTTAATTTAATTTAATAATTTAATTTAATTTAATTTAATTTAATTTAATTTAATTTAATTTAATTATTTAATAATTTAATTTAATTTAATTTAATTTAATTTAATTTAATTTAATTTAATTTAATTTAATTTAATTTAATTTAAAACTTATTTGCCAGCCATCTTGTTTCAAAGCAACTCTGGGCAGCATACAATAAAAAACATTAAAATCATCAAATATAAATATACCCAATAAAATCACAATACAAGCACAATACAGTCATTGACACAAAATAGAGAAGGAGGCAGCCCAATTCATGGAGAATGAGGAGATGGGTTTAGTTCTTACTTAATCAACCAGCTCCAGTTTCAAACAATTGATCATATGAAAATAGTATAGTTGAAGAAAGTATGGATGCTTTTCCAGAGCTTGGTATCCCCCAAATAGATTGAACTACAATTTCTATCCCCAATCCTCATGGAGATGATGGTACTGGTAGTAGCAATCCAATACAATATCAGGTTCGAGAAGGCTGAAAAATATGTGGCAGCAGAGCAGTATCTGAGAGTGTTTTGTCGTTCATTTCTCAACAGTCATCTTTTTAAAAAACACATTTTTTCTTCTGTTGCAGGATAATTCTG